GCACAGTTGAGGTCATTCTTCTGGTCGTTGTCTTTGTCGCGGGTGGAGAAGGGCACTCCAGATGTTTCAGTGGACAGAGAGCTCTCCAGGTTCCCGGCAGGACTCCCCAGAATGCGCAAGGAATAGCTGCTCTCCTCGCCGTTCAGACGGAAAGGGTAGTTGATGGTCTGAACTTCATCCCGCCAGTCAGAGAACTGCACCTTGAGGATGTAGTATCCGCCCTTGGACACAGAATGGATCTTTTCCAGGCCAAGCCAGAACTCGCCTGAAAGTGACATTTAAGAGGGATATTTAAGAACTCTGTGTACTCTGGTCTAGCAATAGGTCAGGAGATTTAGTCACTCTGCAATTAAATCATTTAAGGGCATTAGGGAAACAGGATTTGACAATGTTTCCTCTCCAGCCAGGATTGATCTGATCCTCTATCCTTAATCTGCCACTCTACAACCCTTATTAGTGGGTAAATCTCTACACCTTAATCAAAGTGTACTGACAGATGTGGCTATTTGCTCAGAGCCTGTTGGTCACATGCAAAATGAAGTCATTTCACATTGGATTCTTACCATTTAGGTTCCCAAAGCCAGTCTGGTATGATTGCCAAAGTTGATCGAAGTCTACAGATCCATCTTGGCGTCTCTGGATGACTGTCCATCCTCCTTCTGTGGATACACGCACAGAACAAGAGGATTACAAGCTGTTCTGAGTGATGCTTTGGGGGATGGGGAGGCGATATCCAATGTGGTTTACGAACAAAGAAGCAATAGATGCTCTTTTAAGAGGGATGTGAGATAAATGGCAAATAAAAGTGGCAGAAAATTGGTTCGCGCCACTTACCGGGTGTCATTTCGCAGAAGACCTCAAAAGGCTCTGAGTCAGTTGGCTGGATGGTGAACAGCCCGCTTGTGGTCTCACCCCTTAGGAACAACTCATGACAGTCAGAAGCCATAGCTGAAAGACACCAAAACACCACAAAAATGTTCACATGTCTGCAAATGACCTTTACCCAAGCCTGTATCCAAACAGGGATTTTAAAATTGGCACTAAATGGAAATTGCTCACACGTCTAGGGTAAAAGTTTATCACATTGTTTAATGGTGAACTAATCTTTATCTCAAACACAGAACCTTGAACGTGCCACCCAAGAACCCAAAAGCCAACATAGAGTTTGTTTTGAACTCCAGGGCAGTAGTCCAAGTCATCTGACGTGTTGCTATACACACTGACATATATTTCTCAGGCAAGTGTGGCAAACATCTGCCTAACAAAGGCAGTTTCACATGTGAATTCTGACCTGGCTGAAACAATTGAGGGTGTAAACATGACCTTTCCCCCAGTTCCCAAGCAGAGACTTCCCTCAGTAGAGCTACAAGCATTCCTTCCCCCTGCCCCCCTTTAGTTCAGCCCTCCACGCCTGCTTCACGTGCACAGCACCCCTCTGCTGACATCACAATGCATGGGCAGCGAGTGTTCCGGGAATGCCGAGGCTGCTATTTGAGGAGCAACTGCTCAGGCCCTCAAGGGACTATGTGAGATGCGAGTCAGATGACAAAAAAATTACAAAAAATGTTGGCACTGTCTGTCCGTTTAAAAATTGGATGCCCTACATTAACTGAAAAAATAAAATAAAATAAAATTTAAATTTGTTACTCACTATCTATCTGTCTGTGTGTGTGTGTAAACTTAAAAAAAATGAATGCAGCAGATTTAAAAGGATCAAAGTGGTGATCATATGGTTTTAAGTGAAGTGGTCTTCTTTAGTCTGGCACACTTCTCATTGACTACAATAAAAGGGGTGGTCTGTGTGAATGAGTAGAAGTGGGGGTGGGGTGGGGGGGGGTCTAAGGGGGATAGTCTGGCTCTGACAGATCTAGGGTAAAGGTTACACGTTTTCTGAGAGAAATTACGTGTTTTTGGAGTGATCTCCACACGACGGAAAATCTGTATAAAGTTCATGGTCCAAAAATATGCACTCTGTACATGGTGTTCAGTGGATTAGAGCCAGGAAATCTAATCTAAAGTACAGGATATACTATATCTGAAAAAAAAAACTCCCTTTGCTTTTGGCCAGATTTGAAACAAATCTCTGCATGCTTGTGAGTCGTGACCCTGAGTTAACACAGTCCAAGACTGATGAACTCTCACACAATTGGAAGGCATCCAGGGAAACTGTTTTTTTTTAAGCATTCTTTGGATCCCACTGATGTCAGAACTCGCCATGAGAGGCTTTATTGTGTTCGTTTGGATGACTGTTCTGGCCCATGTGTTTCTGATAGGTTCACCTTTCACCTACTTAGAGGTAGGCATTGCTTTGAAATGGAGTTTCCATTTTCAACCCTCACACACAGTGTTAAAATACTTCTAAAAATCTCATAGTTAAATGTTTGAAATGTTGTGTCTTATTTCCATGAGACATTTCCCATATGTTTTCAAAATCGTTTCCCTAACATTATGCAGCACGTAATGAATCTAAAAGAGCAAAACAAGTGGCACAAGTCTCAGCATGTTTTTTGATAAAGAGCAAAACCTCCTCTTGTATGTTTTTTAGATGCAATTTTATTATTGTGTGTATTTGAATTATCAGAGACTGTGCAATAAGGCAGATTCATTATGTGAATGGAACAATTAGACTTCTTTTCGCCAGCATATAGATTTTGTGTCTTAGTAACTTTTGTGTATTTTTTTTACGAAACATTTTCAAGATATTATATGTAAAAAAAACAGCTTTTAATTATATAGTATATAGCTATATATTATATATAAAGGTGTAACAACATAATATGATGAACTGACTTACCAACAGGTGAATCTCGCTGTTCAGAGCTCGCGTTCAGATGAACATCATCCTCCCGTTTGAGAGAAGACCGCTCGCTGTTCATATGAATCTACATGAATATTATGGGTAAGTTTGCAGTCATAGACTTAATATATTGACACCACACTACTTCATAGTTACATTATATTTTATTTTGTAGTATTCTTACCTGGTTTTGGAGGGTCCGAATTCGAACATTTTGTTTATCCATTTTTTCTTGCTGTTGCTTGATGCGCTCGACTAAATCATCAATGCGCTTATTTTGCGCCTCCAGCATCCACTGAAATCAGAAATAGTTTGAGGTCAGTCTTTATTCACACTCAAAACATGGCATTTCCAAACCTCAGCAGACCACAACGATAATCATGGAGTTGTTGACAATTAAGTTCCTACTTTCCAGTATAACCGGTCTTGTACACAGCTTTCTTTTCTGTACATCGTTATGTTACAGTAACATGAACTCGCGAAGTTGCAGACAGTGAAAAACTATATACGTCTGCATGCGTATGAAACACTTAAGGTTCTGTTAAGCTTGTTTCTTGCTAAGACATGTTTCAAGGGGCGAAAGTCAACACACTTCAAACTTTCCTGGAGGTCAGTAGGCTTTGTCACTTTCTTTGTATGAACAGCTGCTACCTTGCACGTAGGCTACTACACGGCTCTTGAGTTCATGCCATGAGTGGCTCGTGTGCTCTATTGGAAATGCAGGTTTTTTTAAAACCACATAAACCTATCCAAATAATTCTTGATTAGTTAATTGAAGTATTTAGAATATGATTTTAACACATATATGCAAATGCACAACCAAACATTACAATGCATATCAGGCAGATATGTTGTTAGCCTAAGGTTAAAATCCTAGACGATATGCTTCACATTCTTTTAGCCCTGAAATTAGTTTTTTTTCACCTACCTGAATGGTTCGGGCATTGCTGTAGTTGCCGTTGGCAGCTTCCAAACCATCTCCTTGTATCAAGCCATCTACTTTTTCTTCCAGCTTATTCATCCTCTCATGGTCCTTCTTCCTGTCTTTGAGCAGCTCTTCCGTCTTCTCCCGCAGATCCATGGACACGTTTAGGACCACGTTCTCACGTTCTTCCAGACTCTGGGCTTTTGCTTTCAACGCCTCGCTGTCTTCTTGAAGCTGTTGGGTCAGCTTGCCTAGCTCGGATATGGTGACGTTGAAGACCTTCATCTTGATGCTGATGTCTCTCACCTGGCCTTTGGTCTTGTCCACATGCTCTTTAAGACCCTGACCTAGCTGCAGCAACCCATGTGCTAGCACATTAACATCATCCCATGCTGCATACTGAACTCTCTTTTCTTTTCCAGTAGCAGCTCCTCTCCTTTCCAGCGGGAAGCTCGTCCCGGAGCTCGCCAAGACTGTGATGCATAGCAGATTTGCCAGTGGTACCTTCATCTTGCTCGTTTTGTGTCTGTGGTTGTCTGGTTATTCTAACTTGTAGTAGAGACCGGTTAGCTGTCGCAGTATTCTCAAGAGCACAGGCTCATGCGGTTGAAAGGCTAACTTGTTTTTATACCCTTTCTGAGCCGTCTAGTCTGTTCTGATTGGTTGGGCATTTGGAGGGAGTGTGTGAGTCTGCTCAGGTTTCAACCTCCTCCCCCTTAACCATATATTTGCTTCGAATGTGGACCATGATGTAAGAATGGACTCGGTTGCAACCAGAAAACCTGTTCATTAAATTTTTTTTTCAAGATTTAATGAAAATTGAGTGTAGGTCTTCAACAATAATGAATATTGAGCAATTTATTTTTGTATGTGGACTTATATTGACTTTTAGTCAGTGATTTCATTGATTCATTATATTTATATTAACAATTTTATTACACTAATTCCCACAAACAGTCCTACTGAGACTATTAAATTGTAAAGGACATATTAAATCTCACAAATCAAATGTGAATGATTTCAGTTTGGTACATCCTGCCCTGTTTAATGTCCAAGTAGTGGACATTTATAAAATATACATTACATAGTAAACTACATATATAAATTATGTAGAGAGAATATAGTGGAATTGGTGTGAATGGACACCGGGGTTTTCCCAGTATGAAGTCATTATTGTGGCAGAGGCTTTGTGTAGAGAGACGAGGTGAACGTGCCGCAGCTGAGCACTGTGGTCTGTTCCTCTGTGAGCACAGAGCAGTGTGAGAATTAGGGGAAAGTTCACGCTCCCAGAAAGCCAGCATTCACTGGAGGTTTCTGAAGACTACGCTCAGATACCTCTTTAGGTGATGCCTGAGAGCTTGTCTCTCCCATAGAAAAGCAATACTCCTGTGTTTTTAGCTGTTTTGTCTTGTGATACAAAGGACTTGGTGTTTATTCCAGGGGGTGATATCAAAGCACAAGTGTTACAGAGTTTACCTTTCAGCTTTCGAGAGCTTTTCAGGTTTTCTGAGAGAGATTTGCTTGTTTTTACAGTGTACTTTGCAGACATGGTCAAAACAGGATTTGAAAGGGTATTCAGAAGTGGAGCAGAAGCCAGGACTTGATTGTTTGTGACATTAATCACGTCTGGAATTATATGTTTAATGGAGATGACGTATATGAATGACTATGTACACTATCCTTCAAATGTTTGGGGTCAGCAAGATGTTTTTAAAAGTAATTAATACTTTTAATCAGCAAAGGTGCTTTAAATTGATCAAAAGTGACAGTAAAGACAGTAAAGAATTTGTTACAAAAAAATAAATCAAATTAAAAAATTAAAAATAAAATAAACATGAAATAAATGCTGTTCTTTTGAACTTTCTTATTGATCAAAGAATTCTTTTTTTTTTATTTTTTTTTTATAAAGGTTTCTACAAAAATATTAAGCAGCACAACTGTTTACAACATTAGTAATAATAAAAAATGTATGTTCATAAATCAGCATATTAGAATGATTGCTGAAGGATCATGTGACACTGAAGACTGGAGTAATGACTGCTGAACTTTGCCATTACAAGAATACATTACATCTGAAAATATATTGAAATAGAAATCAGTTATTTTAAAGTGTAATAATATTTCACAATATTACTATTTTCACTGTATTTTTGATCAGATAAATGCAGCCTTATTGAGCATAAGAGACTTCTTTCAGAAATATTCAAAACTTTTACTGGCCCCAAACTTTTGAACAGTATAGTGTAGGACTTTGGCTTTACTCAAAACTGTGCAGAAAACGTCATTGTAATAATTAAATGCCTTTAAATGCTTGTATAATCTGTAATGCGATGCAGCTAGAAAAACACAAGCCTAAAGGGTGTTTCATGATTAATGCTGGATCGACAAAGCATTTTCTCATTCCAGTACTTGTAAACAACTCTCAGGGTGTGTTTGCTTTCTTAATGCTAGTGACGTGCAGCAAACAAAAAAACAAACACTTACTCAGTTGTTTCAGCTGGTCCCATAATGGCATGAACGCCTTTTGGTGGATCACTTTAATTGAATCACAAAACCTGTCATTGTTTTGACACTGATATTTTGGCTGCATGTTCGGTTAGTACTTGCAGAGCTGCTTAACAAAAAGACAGAGAATGATATCTTAAAACAGTAGTTACTGATGAACAAAAGACTCACAGATCTGGCAGGTCAGAACATTAGGCATGGGATTTTAATGTAAGCATCATCTGTGAGGCATATATGCATCTCTCCTACAGCCGAAGTCTTTTCAGATGCTCAGTAGCCCTGAAGAGGATCATTAGCATTTGAATGACAGGGATAGTCAGTATTTGCCTACGAGTTTCCCAGAAACACTGATGGCAGCAGTTAGTCATCCGCCCAAATCACGTTGCCGGAACCAAAGGAACAGCTGCATTTTTTGACTCTAATATGGTGTCACTCCCAGCGGGACGACCTTTTACCCACATTCTAAATGGGCAACATCTGCATCACAGAAGAGTTTTTGCGAAAGAGGCGCTATAGGTGCATAAGCTATAGATGTCTGAGGAAACTGTTAACTGAGTCACTGTTGAAATGGAAAAAAAGGGCTGAACTTCTTTTGAGGAAGTTATAATACAATAATGTTTTAGTAACCAGTGGTTAACAGCAGCATTACTGAGGTCTTGGTTTAGTAGACAACATATAAATCATACTCTTATTAGCTGTCACATGATGAACATATGATTTATTCTCCTTTTGGATCTTTCGGGTTAAAAGTTATTCGCCTTCATTTCCATTCATCCGTATATCAGAAACATTTTGATTTCCCTTAATTGATGCTGGACTGTAAAGTACAGAATTTTTACATTTACATTCCAGCTTTAGTTAGATGATATCTGTGGGTGATTGCATCATAAAAGTGGCCGCCCATGTATAAACTGTATCTGTGACTCCGGTTTAACACAACCGGTTTTGCTTTTTTTATCCAGAGGACTGTATTACAAGAAATTCTTCTGTGTGTTATTCACAGCTCATATTTACAATGAACACTGGCATATGAGCACGTTGCTTATGCTCACCGAGGCTGCATTTATTTGAACAAAAATACAGGAAAAACAGCAATATTGTGAAATATTATGAAGATATTTAGAATAACTCAATATATTTAAAATGTAATTTATTCCTGTGATGGCAAAGCTGAATTTTCAGTCTTCAGTGTCACGTGATCCTTCAGAAATAATTCTAATATGCTGATTTGCTGCTCAAGAAACATTTCTCAATATTATCAATGTTAAAAACAGCTGCTTAATATATTTTTGGAAACCATTACTTGATGTTTTTGCAGGTTTTTTGATGAATAGGACATTTAACAGGACGGTGGTGTATACTGGAACCATACTGTTGCATGGTAAATGTGACTTTAAATATCCTGAGCATGACTGCAGTCATAAGATTTGTACCGTCATAGTGTGGTTATCCTCTTCTGCATACAGGATTTGGGATGTTTATATGAGTGTGATGTTGAAGACTATGTGAAACTTGTAACTACACCTGTTAAAGTGGCCCTATTTATGTATTTATAACACATAGATAACTACATGTTGCGTGCTTGATAAATGAATGATTAGGAAACAATGAAAAGATCAACCGAAATACACTGAAAATAAAACTTCTTTGCTCAGAGCAGAACTCAAGTACTCCAGAACAGTTTGTTCTGGGTGGACACTAAACCACATCTGGGCATGTATTCAGCAGTATAGTCCAGAGAACATTCTTCTGCCTCCTTGTGGTCAAATATAGAGGTTAACGTCCCTCAGCCCAAATCCTGCAGATCACATGGCCTTCATCACCGCCTCATTCAAACATTTGAGAACCACTGGAAGTAACACATTTCCTGTCTGGCTAGAACACCTATAGGGTTAAAATGGCCTGCAGTGAATATTTTCTCTGACATGCTTTCTGTACATATCTCTTTATGGAGCTATTGTGTTGTTTCCTCCTCATTTTGCTTATATAACAAATTCAGATACACAGTCGGATGTATGCATTTGTAAGACTTACATATAGTGGAGTCTAAAGGTCTAAGATCCTTTCTTTATTATTTCTTCATTGTAATTATTAAGAAAGAATAAAAGTTGAATAGATTTTTTTTTTAATGACAGCAGAACTTGAGCTGATGATCATATTCTAAATCTTAACTATTTCCTGTTCATTAAAAAAAATTGTTTTTAATCCTAAAACATTGTTTATTTACCATTTACAATTTTTAAATCCAGATATTTTTTGTGTCTGACCTTTTTTGGACTCCACTGTTTAGAGTGTCATTTCTAGGTCCATAAATTTATATTTATCCACAGGCATTTTGCAACCAAAAAAAAAAAAAAGTGTAAAACTCACAACACAACTGTGCAAAAATATAGTCATCCAGAAGCCATTATCATGAAAATAAAGTAATATACTTCTCTAGATTCCATAAGAAATTTAATTGAATAGAATCCTATGAAATGTTTAATATCATCAGTTCACATTAGATTAAATAAAAAATACAGTTCTGATTATAAGTTCACATACCCCTATTAAAGAGGATCATATAATTCTTTAAATGGGATATTTTTGATATTTATATATAATTAATATATATAATTTTGTCTTGTGGAATATATGTAAATGTCTGTTGTGTCAAATAGCTTGGAGCGACTGTGTAATGTCTCAATCAAATCAAACCAGCAGTGGACAGCAGCTTGGCACCATCGGGTTACTTTAATATGACACTCTGATATGACAAGATGCAGCAGCTGTCGCTTATCCACGTTCTGAACTCTTGCCGGCATCTGATATTCCCTGCGCCCTTTCAGTTATGCCGTTATTTTGTTGAGCATTCATTCAGATCCTGCAAACATGAGAGACAAACTGACTTAAAATGCAGTCTTGTATTCTCATTCACACTGAAGTATGCATGGTGCATCGCTGAATCTGTTCAACTTTTGAGACTGGGAAAGCGCTGGATGCACATACTTTGCAGATGCATAAATGTCTTAACAGTTTTCAGCTGTGTACACTGATACTGATCCATACAAGTTTAGGCACAGGACCATATTATTGATTTTAGACAATAAACACTTCTTTTTTGAATTTATAAATTTATTTTGAACAATAATATACTGGCACTGTGGGGAAAATAGTCATATGCTGACTGGCAAAACTGAAAGTGTATCATAATCTAAAACATTAAGATGCATTTAATCTTTTTTATTTTTCTATTAAATGTCATGCACAGTTGGGTTTTAATTGTAGCTGATGTTCATTCGCTCGCCCCAGACATTTAGTCTATATACATATGCAAGCTGCTTTTTATACACAGGTTTCACTTCTCTCTCTTTTTAAAATAATAAACCATAGGCCTTTTCAATTTCCTGTTACACATACAAGATTTCCTTTTGAGGAGTTGGGTGTTCATAGAACCAGTTCTAGAGAAATGACTAGTGGAGTAAAGCGACTCATAAATAAAGTAATTGTCACATAAATCGTTTGCTTTTTCATCAGCAATGAGCCAATGTTTAACAATCATTTTGAAATTGCCAGATTAATGAATATATGCCTTGTGTATCTGTAAACAATGTAATATTTCTTGCATATTCACCCCTGGATGCCCTGTCAGCTCTAGAATCAGGTTGCAGCCCATCGTGTAACATTCCTGTCAGTGAAGCTTGATTGGAGTTCAACATGTTAGAAAACACTTTCTAGTCGGGATCTATTTAACTTTCAGAACATCTGCTATAGTCAACCCCCTGTGAAACATTAGGGAATTGTTAACCTTTAATCCCCTAAGAAGTCCTAGACAAGTGGCAAAGCAAACGGAAATCTGGGAGCGTGCAGACAGTGCATTTTTCCATGATCTGCAAAGATGATATGCCACATGTCTATACATATTCCAGAAGCGGAAAGATGTTTAACTCTGTGGGAACTGGATGGCATGTACAGAAAATCTACCTCAGATGTTGGTGACTTTTTCAGAGAACCAAAGAACCAGAGAATCCAATGTGAGATCTAATGTCTGCTGGTTCTTCATTTAAAGATACGATGTTTCTATATCTATATTTTCTTTATAGCATGTATTTATCTACTTTTGCACCACCAACCAAAATAGTTCCATACAAATCCGAAGCAAAATAATAAACCGTCACGTCTCTGAGTAGTGGAGTTTTGGTAATGAATAAATCAGTGAATCAGTTAATGATTCTTACAAATACAGCCAGAAGCTGTGTCCCAATTTAGGGACTGTATCCTTGAAGGCCGCATTCCAAGACCGAATACGTCACAGCGTTGCAACGAAGAATGTCCCATTTCCATGCCTCATACAAACTGTAAACTTGCTCATAAACTTTAGCTGTCGTACTTGCTGGGCGACAAGAGCAACCTTACATAAGACAGACCGTCCCATTTAAACAATACTCAGTTCAACCTTCACAGGGGCTACGGATGCAGACACAGCTACAGTTGCAGTATTGTTTCATTTCAAAGTCAGTCAGTGTTTTGAAACGAATCTGTTGAATGAAAGATTTGATGACTTTTGCCACCTACTGGCGTAACAAACAAACCTGCAAAGAGTCGCTGATAATCTCCTCTGCTAATGCATTAGCCCTGCTGAAACACGAATACAGACAAGTGGAGTGAGACACAGAATATGGCAACTAACTGTTGTCTAAAACATAATAAAGTGCACGTATGTACATTCCGGCAACTGTTCCATTACTGCAAGCAAGAACTTTTCCTTTCAAAATCATGTTTATTGATGCCATTTTCAAGAAACTCCATGCTGAAAAGAAAAAAAGAAGAAAAAAAATAGGCTAAGAGCGACAGTTGATTCGTGCATGAGGTCATGCTTTCTGCTTTGTCTAATATGACAGCCTGTTATTGAAATACTGTGGTCTTTGTTTCCAGTCATGTTCCTTTTGGTGTCTAGTAACCTGTTCTTGAAAACAAAACAGACTGAGTGCAGGAAAACTCATAACACAAGATTGACACACAGAGATATATGGCATCCCATTATACACGTGCAGACACTGTTACATAACTGCAACACTTAATTATTATTACATTATCACTCATTTTAATGCATATATGGTTGTGCCTAAATTTATAAACTCTTGAGTGACCTAAAGCAATAACAGTAAAATCTAGATAGCAGACTTGTTTTCCACAGATAAAACCAGCATTGTTGATTACACTTTTTCTTTTTTATAAGGCCATGTATTGTCTAATCAGGCTTGTTTGTGATTCGTAGTTCTCAACCTTAGCATGTTCACCATAACATCAGAACATAACATCAAGTGCCCTTGAACCTTGCCTTGTTTCACTTCTATTGGCTTAGCTTGGTGAAAAACATACTGCTGTCGTCTTGAGACAAAACAAGAACTACAACTAAAGAACAGTGCATTTGGTTCCTCGTTATAGTGAAAACATTACAATAATAAGAAAAATATTCTGATGAAGATGTGCACAAAGGTTTGCGATTGATACGATTTTTTTTCTTGTTTTTGAATACATCTCTCAATGAGGCTGCATTTATCTGATCAAAAATACAGTAAAAACAGTAATATTTTGAAATATTTTTTTTTTCAATTACAGCAATATTGTCAAATATGAAAATATTTAGAATAACTGTTTTCTGTTTTAATATACAAATATTTTTAATCGGCTAAAAACACATATCTTCCATCTTTATTTGACCCTCTAACTCTAGCACTCTCTATTCTAATTATATTCTTTAAAAAAAGCTAGCTTTCTAAAGTTTTCTTTTCATTTATTATACAATTAACAAAAGCAAAAAGACCTCTAACACTAGCTTGCTCTATTCTTTTTCTATTCTATCTGTTTTCTTTTTATTATATTATTTAAAAAAGCCTTACGTGTATTGCGTTAAGTTAACTGAGACTTGTTATAGCACTTGTATATCATTGCTCTTTTGTTGATTTTGATTGCTTCCATTGTCCTCATTTGTAAGTCGCTTTGGATAAAAGCGTCTGCTAAATATAAATGTAAATCTAATATATTTGAAAATGTAATTCATCCCCATGATGCAAAGCTGAATTGTCAGTATCATTACTCCAGTCTTCAGTGTCACATGATCCTTTAGAAATCGTTCTAATATCCTGATAAGGTGCTCATGAAACATCTCTGATTATTATCAATGTTGAAAAAAGTTGTGCTGCTTAATATTTTTGTGGACAGTTGGGGCCGGTGTACTTCAATTAGATTTAATTAAATGATACAAAGTCTAGGGATTGATGTTTTTGTGCACTTATGCTGAGGTCAAAGGATCCTTGTCCTGTAGTAACCTCTGTGCTCTGTGAAAATGATTAAAACTGTCCTTGGGGCCTTCGCTGCTCAAAATGAACATCATAAACAAGGGTCCGTCACAGAGCCGGCAGCAGTAAATCACTGCCGTTTCCTGTAGTACTGCACCGTTAAAATGTGCGCCTGGTCAGCACAAAGGAAACAGAGAAGGGTCAAACCTCTCTGCTCACTGACCCAAGGGAAACTCAATGCTCCAGTGGCACAGTGATGTTATTTAACGGACGTGGGGGCACAGCTGCCCTACTTACATTGAACAAAGGTTACATGTCTATGATGTAACATGTCAGGGTCGATTCTCACATTAACAAGAAGCACAGTAGTACAAAAAAGGAATTAAAACATAAGCCAATTTAACTGTCAAAAGTAACACACTGCAAAGGATGCTGGCCTTCATCTATCAATATGATAAAAGCACTGAATAATTCAGTATCAGTTGTTTCATTTTCTCCTATGTCTTCATTGTACACCATGAGGGTGTTTACTGCAGATCACAAACCCTGGTGAGTTTGTCCGACAGTCACCCCTGTTTTTCTCCCCTGAGAGAAAGATGAGACCTCAGGGGCATCAAGATGGGGGGGAATTTGTCTCTGGATAAACATGTATGCTATGCCATGCACGTATTTGCAGTGAAGACACCTTCATATCAGATCACAGTCAATATGTAAATTTACAAGAACATATTTCTATCCATTTCCCCCCAGTTCCTCTTTTCAGATGTTGGAGGAAGTTTAATGCAAACTTTGATGTCTTTTGTTTGAGTGGTATGACTTTACTCCTTTAGGGCAACTGTCATTAGGCAATGAACTAGTTTAGTTGAGTAAGGGTGATTTCAACTTGTTTTATTAAGACTACAGTTCATGGTTTTCAAAAACACAGAAGCACTATCATTTATTGAACATGGAGATATTTCAAAGTATCTAATAAGTAGATTCACAAGCTTTATTTGTATTAGACGATGAGATTAACATTCTTTTAAACTTTTTAATGATTTTGTAAGAGTAACAAGTGAACAGGCCTTGTTTTTAAACAGTATGTGAAATATAAAATATAAATGTCTCCTGGCCTCTCTTTCAGACTCCAGAAGTGTCAGGACATCTCCTTCTCTTACTGGGCCCTTCACGTTCCTGATGATGGATCTGTTGCTGTCATCCATGAACTCAACGCGCACCTGTGGAAGGACAATGTGTTAAGTCTTAAGAAAAAGAATCAAACTGATACTTTAAAATGAATTGAACTGCATACCAAATTTGACAGCAACAAATCACATTTTTAATGTCCAACTACAATATCTAGAGATTTACACCAAAATTATGATGATGATGGATCTGTTGCTGTCATCCATGAACTCAACGCGCACCTGTGGAAGGACAATGTGTTAAGTCTTAAGAAAAAGAATCAAACTGATACTTTAAAATGAATTCAACTGCATACCAAATTTGACAGCAACAAATCACATTTTTAATGTCCAACTACAATATCTAGAGATTTACACCAAAATTATGAGAGGGAAAACAAGTTTTAATAACGTGTCATACCGAGCATAAACATTTACAATATTTACTAAATGTATAGATTCTAACATGTGCAGTTACAAGCTAGGATATTAGTCTCCTGCAAAATACAGCCACTCCTATAAAGTGACTTATTAGAAAACACAACGTAATTAAATTCCAGGATATAAAATGATATTTTTCTTAATCAAATAATCCGCAAACACGTCCCTGCTCGTGTTGCACATGACACGGAGCATGAGTTCAGTCTGAGCTCACCTGGGTACACTGTCCCTGGGAGCCGGTTCTTCCCAGCACTTTAGTAACCTGTAACAAAAAACACGTTTAACACCGATATAACTGACATGATTAAACGTGATGTGTGGTGAAAACAGCATTATACGCAGCTGTTCGCCATCAAACCTGCTGGATAGCAATATGCTAATGCTAATGCTAACTACAGGCCTAACGACACACACCGCTATATTTTTGAGCGTACTGTAGGAATGAGACTTGAAATTAAATATCTTTGATCTTACGCGTATTATATTGCATGATTCAACCGGAAATATTCATTAAATTATTTTTGTCTTACTCTAGCGAGTTTGATGGGCTGCACGCGGCTGGCATCCATGATTTCAGTTTAGTTCGGAAAGGAAGTCACGTGGTCTCGACGGGTTTTATATACCCACAGTAAAATGCACATTTTCAATTGATCAGGTTTTATTTTCAGTTATATGTTGGTATAGTTTTATAAAATGCAAATAGACTAAAAAATGGATTCTGTGTTAATAAAAAGATAATTTTACAGTAACAACAAACCTGTTTCCGGTTCCGGGATCATCAGGGAACTTACTGGGCGAATTCCAAACCGAAGTGAGCATCCCTATATGCCCTACTCCCTTCGAAGGGCAGAGCCCTTGAAGTGTGTTCTTTGAAGGGTGTAGGGAAGTCATACTGTCTCGTATAAGCGTTTGGAACGCTCTTGTTACCTTGACAACGCTGCGCGTGCGTGCAGCATTCGGCACTACACCAGTTGAATGCAAATATATATTTCTTCTCATTATTATTATTTGATTCAGATATTTCCTAATTGTGTCTTATTTACTATTCAGCTTTTTTCACACTAAATCTGCTTAAACCTGCTTACACAACCATCTTAAATAATATTTCTGACGAAAAAAAGACCAATTTAATTAGCCTATCCTACTTACATGTGTGTCGAAATCAACCACATCGTTGCATTAAAATGCGTCGCAAGATCTCCTAACTGAAGATCACATGACCACAAACGGAAATCACTTCCGTGAAGTGATCATCACATGTTCCCTTCGATAACGGACTTCTGGAAGGGCCCTTCGCGAAGGGATTCAGTTGTTCACTGTCGTTTGGAACGTCCCTACAAATGGCGTCCCCTTCCCGAAGTGCCCTTCAAGGGCGCAAAAAAGCCGTTTGGAATTCGCCCTATTGATCCAGGACCAGCTGTACGTACAACCAAAGAGTATACTCTTTATAGAGTATACAACTGTACAAATCACGCTGAAGATAGTGCGTTCTTTGATTATGTCAGTATGATTATTTTTAAACATAGGTTCGACCATACGATATTGTAGACTATAGTATTAATAACGCAGGTCTATGAGATTCTGTGAAGTAACGGGATATGTAAAAAAAATGTTAAAAGTGTTATCATGCTAAAAAAAACGTGCTTAATCATCATGCTTAAATATGTGGTAATTAAACAGAAAATGAATAAATAAAGTCAAAATTATCTGTAGTATGATTTGAAATGAAGAAGAAGAAGAAAAATCGACACACACCCTAAAACCAGAAGAGACATATGACCTAGGCAAAGAACTTGTCAAGCACTTGTATAACATTTACTTGAGTTACACATAATTATTGTAGTTTTGTCAAAACAAATATTGAAACTGATATAGAATTGTCCATCAGTTTATGAGAAGGCAATCCAACGGGTTTCAATGTATTTAAGTTTTTCTGCAAGCTATTTATTAGTGCTGTCAAACGATTCATCGCGATTAATCGCATCCAAAATAAACGTTTTTGTTTACATAATATATGTATGTGTGCTGTGTATATTTATTATGTATATATAAATACACACACATGCATGTATATATTTCAGAAAAATATGTTATGTTTATATATTAAATATATTTATTTATAATATAAATGATACGAAATATAAATATATACATGTAAATATTTTCAAAATATATATACTTTATGTGTGTGTATATATATACATAATAAATATACACAGAACACACACATATACTATGCAAACAAAAACTTTATTTTTTATGCGATTAATTGCGATTAATCATTTGACAGCACTACTATTTATATAGGCTTAACTATGACCATAGATATATGCTTTGTTTATGTTAATTTAGTTTTTGTCTAATCACAATGATGGTAAAATGTGCATAAGAGCACATGGAGAGGATATGAAACAGGAAAGAATACAGAACAAGATAAGGAAATTATGGGATTAAAGGATTTTCATATTGGATTTGCACTGAATTGTTTACATATCAGACTGAGCACAATATTGGACTCATATGTTACTTAAAAGCAAAATAAACTGAAATTTGCTGTGAGCATTTAATAACCTTACAGTATCCCTGCAACTGCTATTTATCCTTAGCCTTTCCTCTTCCAAGGGCTCAATCCTTAAATCACAACACTAATCTTCATGACTGTATTTTGAACTCTGCCGAGGACAGAAAGAACAGCAATGGGATTACGGCATCAGTGAGGTGGGGCACGTCCCAACTCTTGATCTTCAGTTGAGTCGAAACAAATACAGTTGCTTTTTCTTTCTCTCTTTTTAGCTATATTGCTAACTCTAAAAAGCTGGAAGCAGTGGGATATGTTTTCTCAATCTGTCTGGAAATTTCCTTGAAGCTGCAAACCAATACGCATTTTAAAGGGAAGTGGGACTTGTGTACACTTGGAATGTAAAATCTGCCTTTTTCCGCTTTTATTACTAACAAGAAATTAGTCTCTTTTCTTACATATCAGACTGAGCACAATATTGGACTCATATGTTACTTAAAAGCAAAATAAACTGAAATTTGCTGTGAGCATTTAATAACCTTACAGTATCCCTGCAACTGCTATTTATCCTTAGCCTTTCCTCTTCCAAGGGCTCAATCCTTAAATCACAACACTAATCTTCATGACTGTATTTTGAACTCTGCCGAGGACAGAAAGAACAGCAATGGGATTACGGCATCAGTGAGGTGGGGCACGTCCCAACTCTTGATCTTCAGTTGAGTCGAAACAAATACAGTTGCTTTTTCTTTCTCTCTTTTTAGCTATATTGCTAACTCTAAAAAGCTGGAAGCAGTGGGATATGTTTTCTCAATCTGTCTGGAAATTTCCTTGAAGCTGCAAACCAATATGCATTTTAAAGGGAAGTGGGACTTGTGTACACTTGGAATGTAAAATCTGCCTTTTTCCGCTTTTATTACTAACAAGAAATTAGTCTCTTTTTAGTTCTTTACCCATTCTTCAAGCAACCATAATGGATCATCCAAGAAGGCATCTGAAAAAGCTAAAAAAGAGACGTTCAAGTCTTTTTGCAAGTGTCAAACTTAATGCCAGCTTTTCACAGAGTATAGAAGAAGAAGAGAGTGCCTTTCCATTTTCACAAGACAGCTCTGTGAAACCTTGGACATCGATGGACAACCTCGATACTCCATCACCTCAGGCAAGTGACAAAAGAGATCAAGAAAAAAGGAAAGGCAGTGAGACCGAAGCTGCAAAGATGCCACACCGTCATTCAACTGTAATCAATGTTAACGTAGGTGGAAAACTCTTTACCATTCCCAAGCACTTGGCTACCAGATACCCTAAAACCAGAATAGGCAGCTTAGCCCTGTGCAGAGATCCTGTCAAGCAGCTAACGCTCTGCGATGACTATTGTGTGCTCACTAATGAGTTTTTTTTTGACCGGGATCCTACTTTCTTCCACTACATCTTCCACTTCTATTGTAGTAATGTGTTATGGGTAATGGAGAGTCTTTGCCCTGTCAATTTTGAGGAGGAGATGAAGTTTTGGGGCTTGCACTTGAGAGACACTCCTCGTTGTTGTCGCATTCTCTACGGGGAGAAACTAGACGAGATAAGAGACCAGCTGAAAGTGAACAAGGAGCTTATGGCAGAAATCGAGCCCCAGCATGATGAGGAGGGTTTCAAAACAATGATTTTTGGTGGTATTCGTAAGATGCTATGGGACCTGATGGAGAACCCATACTCCTCGATGGCTGCTAAGGCCTTTGCTGTGTTCTCCAGCCTCTTTGTGCTCATTTCCATTGTAGCAATGACTCTAAACACTGTGAGCGAACTGAAAGATTATAAAATCTATGGAAGAACCTACATGGAGTGCGTGGAGATCACTTCAATTCTCTTCTTCACCTTTGAGTACTTCCTTCGCTTGCTGACAACTTGCGACGTCACGCATTTTCTGAAGAGTGCACTTAATTTTGTAGACTTAGTGGCTGTCATGCCTTACTTTATCCAGCTGATATTTGAGGCTTTTGCTGACCAGGAAGATGTTGGCGTTCAAGATGATCTGAAAACAATGGCGAGGGTTAGCAAAGTTAGCAAAGTGCTCAAAGTTGTCAAACTCATGAGAATCTTTCGCATTTTGAAACTGGCGAGGCACTCGACTGGCATGCGGGCATTTGGCTTCACTCTTCGCCAGTGTTTTGAACAGGTCTGTTGCCTGTTTATGTTCATTATCATGGGGATCTTCACCTTCTCCGCCCTAATGCACTCAGTGGAGCAGGATGTTGCAGGTACACCGTTTAGCAGTATACCAGATGCCTGGTGGTGGGCAGCGGTGAGTAGGTCTCAAATTGTCTCAAATCATTCATCACTATTAGCAGAACTGCAGTATAATTCATATATACATACACATTGCCAAAACTATGTGTGCTACTGCTGCTAACTGAGCATATAGTTTTAAAACCATGGCTATTATTAGGGCTTTGCTGCTATATCAGCCTCCTCTATTCTGGGAAGGCTTTCAGCTCTGTGTTGGAACATGGCTGTGGGGATTTGCTTCCATTCAGAGACGAAAGCATCAGTGAGGTCAGACACTGATGTGGGGCGATGGAGTGGGCTCACGGGACCAATGGTGATCAGGTTTGGGCTGTGTACAGATCAGTCTTCCACACTAGAGTGTTGTTATTGTTGACTAAAACTGCATCTAATACAATATTAGAAAAAGTTATTGAATTGAAATGAAGATGAAATAAAATATAAATACTTGATGAAAAACTAAATACTAAATTAAATTGTTACTGTGTCAACAAACTCAAATAAGTTGAAGTTGAAGAACTAAACTTAAAAATAAATTAAAACTAAGTAGAACTATTATAAAGTAATAAAAATGTCAAACGCACATAACAAAATAACTAAAACTGAAAACATCAAAATAAAATCTATTTCAAAATATGAATAAATATGACAATAGTATTAAAATAATCACTGTACCACACTCAATAAACAAAGCTCTTTGCTGTGCTACTTTTTTTAATAAAAATGTTTCTCTAGGGATAGCTGTAATCTTAATTTACACCTATTACCAGATGTAGTTTATATAGCAAAACCTTCTTTTGAATGGGGTGTCCACATTTGGGTTTAAACATATATAAGCTTACTTGAATCATTTTTTATGCACAAATATAAAAAAGAACAAATAAAACAATTGGGCATCATTGTGTGCATCACTTGCATGTGAGTGTTTTTCCCCCCTTCATTATCATCATTTGCTGTGGCTGTTGTATCCTCCTATCCTCTTTAAATTGTTAGTCCTTATCCTCTGGCAGCTGTGTTTAATCTTATATAATACCTTGTAATGCCGCTCAATTGGAGGCATCCATGCTGATCAACTTCCTGGGGCTTATTAAGTCTTACCACGTTGAATTGCATGCCAAATTCTAAGCTGATAAACTCATCTCTCTCTCTTTCCTTTCGGCTTGCTCGCTTTATCAGGGGTCGCCACAGCGGAGAGATCCGCACAACCATTTTGTCATATGTTTTATGCCCTTCCTGCCACAACCCAGCCCTGAGAGTGCACTAACCTGTGCAACTCCAGTGCTGGGACACACTCACTCACTCATTCACACATACACTCACTATGGCCAATTTACTTTGTCCAATTCACCTAAGCTGATAAACTCACGTGGAGACATAATTCTCTCTTTTATTTTATTGTGTTCTGGCCCAGTATTTAAGACATTGTTTTAATAAAGTCTTCTTTACACTGTTACAGGTGAGCATCTCTACTGTGGGATATGGAGATGTGGTGCCCATTTCTTACTCCGGTCGAGTGGTGGCCTTCGGGTGCATATCTTTCGGTATTATTCTAAACGGAATGCCAATCTCCATCCTGTTTAACAAATTTTCTGACTATTATGCCAAGTTGAAGGCCCAGGAGGACACTAATACAAATGTCCAGCGGGGTTTGAACCTCAAGAAAAGACTGCAAAGAAAATTAGAGAACTGCTTCGAGCCTCCAGCTGAGGACTCTGATGAGGACAATAGGCATCACATTGGCCAGTGTCATCACTGAACGTCTTTGTCACCTCGACTGCCTCGCTGCCCTTGAACAGTGAGCTCAGGTTCCCAGCCTGCCTTGAATTAAATCAGGATTTAAAAGATGGGTGAACGCCAGGTTAAAGAAAATTAAGCCATTAGCTTTAAAATGGCTTACAAATGGCATGTCGCTGAGGAGCTTCAGTGAGCTTGTGCTGATTTTCAGCAGTATCTGTTCATTTGTCAGGCAAAAAAATGGATTCAAATAAAAAGGATTCACATCACAGACTGCAAACTGTTAATTGCAAGATCAACACAAACTATTAGAATGATTTGATCCATCATTGCCTCTCTATAAAATTACATACATGAATCCTGAGATTCTGAAGATATTTCTTCCTCAATTAAAACAAAAAGGATTTCCGAGGATCAAGTGAGACTTGTGTGGCCTTCAGACACCTTTGGTGTATTTGGAGTGTTGCTTTCACATAGTTTCTATTCTAGGCTAAATGCATTTGGATACCGTGGCTTTCAAAGACTGATAAAACAGAAAAAAAATAATAATAATGAACATTGTATTTGCATAGTCTTCAGTAAGCACTTTATCACCCGTTCAGATTAGCACGACACATATTTTGACTGTTTTTGGAAGGTCTGAAGGGTGATTTCCCCAATTGTTTTATTATTTGTAATGATTGTTGTTTATAAGACGCTATCTGCAGTAAGCCAGAGCCATACGATAACACAAATCTTGTTCATTTCTGTTCCCCTTTCTTTTTACCCCATGCAGTACAATCCTATATCCTTCCTTTAATACATTATATTATCATCATATCATCAAACCTTTAGATAACAAAGTCCCTTTACATAACAACATATTCCTGCAACTTGCATATACTGGAAAACTAATAAAAGATAAGAAAAAAATTTTCATTAGTAAAAAAAAGCTGTATGCTCCATGAAACTATGCAAATGAAACCAGTAACATTTTCTGTATTTAGCCCATGCACAATGCGAATCTCAGAGGAGTTGCTTTCCAAAAGGCTTTGTTTGTATTGTTTTCAGAGTTTTCCCATTAACATCTTCATTTTTTTGTCTTCTCTGAATACAATCTAAGTGCTAAGTGAGCACGTAAGCTACTGTCAGTGAGAAGTCAAGCGATCTGACTTAATGTCTAATAGGATTTAAGGATCAAGAGGACCCGTGATGCCAATGTTTTGAGTGAAATGTTCAACTTCAATTAAGGGAATGTAAAGACAAGAGCCCTTGTCAGCTGCATGTTAGTGGCCTTTGTTGAACAGCAAAGGTCATCCTCTGCCACTGACAGACAGCAGGGATTTACTGCATAATGGTCAATTATGGGATCATAGTGAATTCAGACAATACTGGAATAACTTATGTATCTATTTGTTATTTATTATACTGTATGTTCCTCCTCTGTTGTTTAACCCACCCCAACAGCGAACACAAATAAATCATCAGCATATCAAATTAAAATGAATGGCTAAAGGTCATTCAAGAAGGTGCCCTGAAGCCATATTGTTTAGCATAATCATTTTAAGGATCTTGATATGTAAAAGTGAGAAGACGAGGTAAGATGCCCACAGTGTAAATTTCCTGTTAAATTCAAACATTTAAAGATAACTTAAAGATTAAAGAAGATGCATACTGTATATCACAATATATTATAAGGGAAATAATAAATGATTCCATTCAACTGGCCTAAAGTTGATAATGAATGTCAAGATGTTTGAAATGTCTAATTCACAAAATTATTAAATAACATTAGGAATGTTACTTTAGAAATGTATAGGTTACAGATTACCCTACTTAAAATGTAATAAGTAGTATAACTATTTCAATTACATTATTAATGTAATGTAACTAATTACATTTGATTACGTTTCTAAATTTATATTTCAAATTTTTTCCAAAAAATGTCTAATCTATTAATCATTTTTTATTAATAATTAACATTTAAAGCAGGCAGGGTTAACCTTACAGTACTCAACAACACGGAAGACTATCAAAATCCTTCATCACTTGAATTAAGATTATAATAATTTCATTTTATAGCACAGCTACCACAAAATCAGACTTTAGCACCTCTTTTAACTTTGAGATTGTTTTGAGGTTAAATACAGATTTAAAATCATAAGATATCGTTTGGTTATGATACAGTTTTTGAAATCAAATCTTTGCATAGCTATGACACTGGCATCTAACAATGCCTTGGGAAAAAAACTGTTATTCTTAAAAAATAAAGCATATATTGTACATAAACAGTTGTCAAATAAACATGTGTCCTATTCTGTGTTCTAAACTCCTGAAACATTGGTATTAAAGAAATCAATCAAATCTGTATGTGTGTGAAAATATTCGGATGTAACCCTCCTTTGTAATCATTAACATTTTCATAAGTAACTGTAATTTAATTACATATGAACTGTAACAGATTACAGTTACATTTATTCTGTAATTAAATTATGTAACACCGTTACATGTAACTAGTTACTCCCCAACACTGATAATAACTACATTCATTATAATAATGATCAAAATACATAATAAGAAAAACACTAGCAACAACATTCCACTAGGCGGCTTCTGTCCCATTTCCTTTTCACTTAAAGGTGCTGTATGTAAGATTGACACCGAGTGGTTGAACTAGGTATTGCAGTCCAAATTCAAAATATTGGAGAGGGTTTTTTTTCACCCGGCCCCTCCTCCTCCTCCTCAGACTTGACGCACACGCAGGTTGCCAGATTGACGACACCAACAGTCACGAGCGCACTTGACCATGATTGAAAGTAAATACGCTGTGTTTTCCGCTTACTGGCAACCCGGGGTGCCGAAATACAATTGAGTAAACTGGCAGTGGGCGGGTTTCACAAACCAAAACAGACCGACATTCCGGCCCAGCAACGCACATTTTCAAAGGAAAAAACTGACTGCATTGTTTTTCAGATAAACCATTACGTTACCTTAGCATGTTTTTTAAATATCTGCAAGCATATTATGGTATTTTTATGCTTTAGTAGAGTCAAAAACGTACATCTATATTTACATATTTTAAAAAATATTTACCCTAGCAATCCAAATGAATGAACGTGTCCACTAATACATTCCATTAACAAATAGACATTAAATGCAATCAATATCCAACAATAAATTCACAAATCATTGTTATCTAAAGAATTGGAACTGTTTAAATCTCACAAATGTTGATCTTCAGATATAAGGTGCATATTAATATGATCATAACCATTCAATAAATGTATTCGAGATTTAGTGATATGTATTGGTTAATATGGAAGCAACTTGCCCATATATAATATTTAAAAGCATTTCATTGACGCATTTCTGAAAACTCATAAAAGAGATATTAGAAGTAAATACGAAAAATGTGACCAGCTATCACAATTTTCCTTGAACTTTCCTTGAGGCAATACAATATATCACAGCTGACATGTTTTATCTGAAATACGTTCCAGCTTGAAGGTCTCGAAGATCAGAACATGATTTTCTTCATGCAAGGCCAGATAGATGCTTGTAGAGCCATGCATGCCAAAGGTCTGATGGGGTGGTATAAAAACCCCCCAAATTGGTTTGGTAAGTAGCCTGCAGTTCCTGAACACACTTGAATGTGCATTCCAATTTGATCACCCCATGAAACACCATGAACATGAAGTGGTTTGCATCTTTAGCTTTTTTAATTCTTCTCGAGACTTCCAAGACTGAGGGTCAAGATGCACGAGTGAAGCTTTGTGGGCGTGAGTTCATTCGGATGGTGGTCACATCGTGTGGAAGCTCGCGACTCAAACGGAACGCGCCTGATTCAGACCTTCACTTTGCAAACCCTCATAGTAGATTTGCCTTCTTCAGACATGCATGTAGTTATCAATTCATTAACCTTTTATTTTTGTTTATTATCTGTGTTGAAACATCTCATGTTGATACACCATATCCTTTTTCAGGGAATCTACAAAACTGGCTCGACAGGGATCTCGTTGCGCACCAGAAAGGGAGCCTGACTGCTGAGGATAAGCAGTGGAGGGAGCATGACTCCCCTGAGAGCGTGACAGAGCGTCCAGCCCACCATCAGCACACAAGCCCCCCAGCAGAGCTTCTGGAACACTCCACCACTGTGCAGGATCTCAGCATGTCCTCCAGGACCCGCCGTGATGTCGGGCCAGCGGGCGTCTGCTGTACTTCAGGATGTACCATGAGTGAACTGATTCAATACTGCTAAGGACGGATATTGAGCTCAGATGTCTTCTGCCCTAAAGCTGCATGTGGTACATTCAATTATGCTTCATTAAACATTGTATCTAAGTTACCATTATGGTAACATGGCTTCATTTGTTAACATTAGGTACCTAACATGAACTAATCTTGTTAATTTTAAGTTAAAAGTGAATTTTAGCATTCACCAATACACTATTATAATCAAAAAGCTGTAACTGTTAATGTAGGCTACGATTTAACAGACCTGAGCTAACATGAACTAAAAAAAGAACAGTATTTTTATTAACTAATGTTAACAAAGATTAATAAATATTGTAACAAATGTATTTCTCAATGTGTGTTAATGCACAAATGAGAATGACTGTAAAATGTTACCATCATTATTATTGTTGGTAGAAGATTTATATATATATGTAATTGAATGAAAATAGTGTTATTTCATACTTTATACTAAAGCTGGTTATATATTTGAGATGACTATCTATAGTGACTATCTATCTATCTACTGTATATATTGTGTGTTAATGCACAAATGAGAATGACTGTAAAATGTTACCATCATTATTATTGTTGGTAGAAGATTTATATATATATATGTAATTGAATGAAAATAGTGTTATTTCATACTTTATACTAAAGCTGGTTATATATTTGAGATGACTATCTATAGTGACTATCTATCTATCTACTGTATATATGTATATATATATACAGAAATCATAGACTGGTAGACTGGTGATATTTGATTGGTGAATTATTTTAGTAGGACAGGGACTTTTGTGCAATAAATCAAAAGAGTCAAAGACAGTGTCCGGTATAATCTTTGAAAAATTACATTTTTGTGAACTTGCAGGCTATGATCAATGTATTGATCAATAGCAACAAAAATAAACTCTCAGAATTCAAATAGTAAATGGTGCACTATATTTTTAACATAGAAAATAACATCTAATTATTTGATCACTGTGGAATGCAAATGAATTATGCAGGTGTAATTTGTCTGAAAACTGTAGTAGCTCAATATGCCTTATTACAAACTTACCGCTAGAGGGGGTACCACTAGTAGTAAAAGCATTAGCCTACGTCAAAATCACTTTCTACTTTAAACTTTATAAAAATGCATCAAAAGAACGTTTTGCTGTTTACAGTGAACTAAATCATTCAACACATTTAAATCAAAGTAGTTTGCTTAAAATAAGGCAACAGGAAACTTAAGCAAAACAAAAATCGATGGACGCTGTTTAAAAATGTCTATGATATAGTTTCATAAATAATCAATGCTAACATGTTTGCACACACACAAGCAGTGACCTTCTTCTGGCACCTTAGATGAGGAGATGTGTATTCAGGCCACATACACATTGTCAGACCAGCTGCTGTGCCACAGCTGCTCTTGATAGCACGTCTTCATCTTCCTCCTCTGGGCCTCTGTCATTTATTCAAGAGTCCAGGACAAATGAAGATAAGGGACTTGTGATGTACCTTAGAGGGATATATCTGTATAAATTAATTGCAGATGCTGTGAATTATTGTTTTCTGAAATCATCAGGTAAATCTGGCCATGATTAATGTATAATTAGCTATAATTCTGTAATCTCAGAAATATCCAGTTTCACCGTGAAACACACAAGTATCATCAGAGCGCTTTGTTTCAGGTAAGGTTAGGCCTATTATGATTATGATTAT